CTAGAACTCTCAGTCTCCTGGTGATTGGCCCAAAGTCACCCACCTGGGTTTCATGGTTAAGGCAGAACTAGAACTCACAGTCTCCCAGTTTCTAGCCTGTTGCTTTAACCATTAGATCACACTGACTCTCTAAAATAACAGAATCTTGCAAGCCTGATTGTGTTTTATCTCTGACTGACATTGTAAACCATTCAGAGAGTGTCATAAAGTACTGTGAAGTGGGATATAAGGCAAACTGGTATATTGCTATTGGTATCTTGTTTCCCAGGACTATTTAGCATATTTCAGCCCTCTTCGCTTCTATAAAAGTTTTTGCCTATTCCTCTAAGATCTTCTCCCTGTTTCTCAAAATCTTTACCATTCCTCAATTTTTCTCCCCCCCCCCCCCTTTTTTTTTGCATTCTAAACTAAAGCAAAAGGCCAATTCCTCATCGGGGCTCATTAGGAAAGCAAACTGAAATTTGAAATACTAGTAAGTACGATCATTATTTCCTGCAATCGCTGCACCGGTGACACATTTGGGATTCCAGATGTAGTTCCAGTGTGTCTCTCAAAAAAAAAAAAAAGGAATATTGTGCGGTTGGGAAAAGGGCCAAAAAAGTACACACAGACACACACACACACACACACACACACAAAATGACCGGGATGAGAGTGTGTCTGGAGCACAGGGGTATTTTACTTTACAACACAGGAAAGTGCAAAAGGAATCCTGATTGCGGCTTATATACAATTAGATATGATAAAAAGAAAGGGCCAGGAGGAAAAAAAAAGTGATTTTTTCCCCCTCCTGGTTTAACATCAATGACTCTCGAGAAGACCAAACCCAGGCTGTTTTGATTTCCCCCCCCAAAGAAAAGCAATCAAAACCAGATTAAAATATTAGTGAGGAAGGGAAGGTGGGGGAGGGAGAAAAAAATATCTTACGATCTACATCTGTGTACCCTGAGGAATATTGCTTACGTGGACAAAAAGCTGAGCAGCATGAGAGAGTTTGGGTGATTTCCCCCCACCCCTTAACTACTCTGCCGTTGCTATTAATATCACGCTCAGCTTTGTGATGCAAGATACACCCACCCTTTTTCTGAGAACCGAGCTGACGGGCTGCGATAAGTCACAGGCTCCGCCGAGCTGCCCTGTTATAAAAGTTGCTGGGAGCTCAGCGCACTTCCTCACTGAGCAGCTACCTTCTCAGATAAGATGAAGCTTGCTGGCGGGGTGTTGCTGCAGGCAGTGGCCCTGCTTCTTGCAAACAGGTTCGTTCTGTCGGAAGACCATGCAGGAAGGGGAGACGAAGAAAGGAGAGGAGGAGGAGGAGATAAGGGGTCTCCGGCTTGCCCTCTCTCCCTCCAAAGCAGCGGGAAATGCGATGGAGAGGAATGTCCCTACCAGGTGAATTTTCCTCCCTTGACCATCCAGCTGCCCAAGCAGTTCCAACTGATGGAGAAAACCCTCCAGGAAGTGGAGCTCCTCAAGGAAATGGTCAACACTCTGAAGAAATCCTGCCAGGATTGCAAACTCCAGGCAGATGACCACCGACACAAGGACAATAACGACTTCCAGCCGGCCGGCCCCGCAAACCAGAGCATGGTCCAAGACAACCGAGTCACCGACCTGCAGGACAAGGTCACCAAGCTGTCCGAGAACCTGAAGAACGCCAAGAACCAGATCCACACCCTGCACGGCCGGCTGGAGCAAATGAACCTGGTCAACATGAACAACGTGGAAAGCTACGTCGACGACAGAGTGGCCAACCTGACCTTTTTCGTGAACAGTCTAGATGTGAAGTGCTCCTCGCAATGTTCCGTCATAGAACCCAAGCCAGGTAGGTGGGCTATTGAGATTTCTGCACGAATTAGAAGGGTTAACACCTTGCTGTGTGGAGTGTTGTTGTTGAACCGAGTTATAAAGAAGTCAGGATTTGGGGGTTGGTACCTATACCTAAGAGTAATGGATGAGACATTAGAATGGAACTGAATGGAATAGAACAGAACAGAATAGAATAGAAAATATGGAATGGAATGAAATACAATGGAATGGGATAGATAGGATAGAAAAGAAAATATGTAATGTAATGTAATGTAATGTAATAGAGCAGAGTAGAGTAGAGTAGAGTAGAGTAGAGTAGAGTAGAGTAGAGTAGAGTAGAGTAGAGTAGAATAGAATAGAATAGAATAGAATAGAATAGAATAGAATAGAAAATATGGAATGGAATGGAATGGAATGGAATGGAATGGAATGGAATGGAATGGAATAGAATAGAATAGAATAGAATAGAAAATATGGGATGGGATGGGATGGGATAGGATAGGATAGGATAGGATAGAATAGAATAGAATAGAATAGAATAGAATAGAATAGAATAGAAT